TCTCACCTATAAATTTATACAAAATCATTGTAACATATATGGAGGAAATAATATAATCTTCAATTCTTCCCTCAACCATACCTGTGTGTATCGAGATTTAACATGGTATCAAAACCCAGTAAGCTCCAACGAGTTATTCGATCTGATTAAGCCTCAAAAATGAGAACACGAATTTCAAGATTGGTCTACTCAAAAAGAGTCACCATCTTGCGGGGGCGTGTTAAAGGAATAAATCTCACATCAATTAAATACCGAAATATTGATAAACTTAAATAGATCTTGGATCACTTCTCTTAATAAGGTTGACCTTATTAAGATGGACCCCAAATCTTAACATGCTCATTGATCAAGGTTAGCTTTCGTATCAAGTAACGACTAATAGGCTCACTAACATGCAAACTAATGATGAATCATGGCAAAATAATATCACAAATTCACAAAGGATCATTTTTCAGGAAGGAAGTACTGATTGAGCATTCTATATTCTTACGCTCTTTTCGAAGTTGTAGAACACTAACATATAATGATGAATCTAGTAACTCAACACGAGTATTCATTAGAATTTGGTCACAATTTTTTCTGTCATGTAGATCCAGCATCCAGCTAGCGTCTAGCATTGGATGTCACGCTCAGAGTCCACAAGTGTCACTTAGATGAATAACGTCAGTTTTTTCTTTGTCTTCAATCAAACCATTCTTGCTAGAATTTTAATGACATCGTCTATTGATGGCCTATGCAAAGGGTCCTCTTCAACACATGAACTAGCCAGTACTGCTAAACATAAGGCCTCTGCTATAGGATAATCTTCCTTTAGACATGGATCCAAAAAGTTTCTCAACTGCTCAAAACAGCATCCTTCATTTGCTCCACCTCCAAAAAACGTAACTGATTCTTCAAATAATTTCCCATCTGCAGCCTGTTTCCCTGATATAAGCTCAAGCAAAACCACCCCATATGCAAAAATGTCTACCTTTTCGGTCGCCGAGCCATAAAGAACATATTCTGGAGCAACCCACACTCCAGGACTTGTTAAACTTCCAGATTCTTTTAAGGACTCATCAGCAGGAATTGCTTTGAATACTGTGAGTTTTGCCCTCCAATTTGAGGTCAAAAATATACCCTTGCTATTTATGCTCATGTGAAAATAAGAAGGTACAGCACAATAATGCAAGTAATGAAGGCCAGTTGC